TTATTTTAATCAGTAAATTTTATTAAAAGCTATAAAAAATTTTCAAGAAAAAGATTTAAAATAATCATTGTGCCAAAGTAATAAATTGAAACAAGAATTTGGATATCTTTAAAAAAGAAAAAAAAAATACAAAAATAGATTAAATATATTAATTATATAAGATTATAAAGAACTAATAATACTTTCAATAGGAAATATGGATCAAAAAAATAAAAATAAAAAAAGGTATATAGAAATTATTAAAAAATAAGTTTGCTATGGCATTAAATAATTTAAATTTTAAATTACAAATAAAACTTAAAATAATCTATAATAATAATCTGTAAACAAGGATCTGTAGTTCAATAGCATAATGCTCTCAAGTCACAATCACAAGGTCTATAGTTCAATATCACTTAAGGACCAAAAATCGAAATTATCCTTCTGATCAGGTTTATCAGTTATTCTGTAAAAGTTGTATCCAATCATCTGGAACCTGCTTAAAACAGGTTAGGCTACATGAAGAATAGGACTTCTGACCTTTTATTGATTAGGGGTTAAAACTTAAGGTCATACTACTGGAAGGATTGTATGAAGTAAAGCTTCTGATCTAGCCTTTCACATAAAGCCCCTAGTTTACTTTGCCCTGGCAGTCTCCAGAACCCCTGCTCTTCTAGCTTAGGATATCCCAATCTGATGCTTTGTTTAATTGAAAATCGGTTAATAAGAAATTATTTGATGCCATAGGTAGTGACAAAAAAGGTAACATGCACCTTTCTGAAATCTGAGCGAATAATATCTAGAAATATTGGAGATGTATATATCCCATTGGATATATCTAACAGATCTAGCTTAGTGTATACAATAAGAATAATAAAAATAGTTATATGAGCTCCATACTAATTAACCTAAGCATCGCCATTTATGACTGTATATTAATCATCTGATTACTAGCTAGATATGTCTACTTTCTCAGTAGTAGTAGGTCTAGTTAGGATTGCCGTAATAGGTTAGTATTAATCTGTATATATAGAGATGTTTGATATAATAACAGTAAAATTAAATTGCCAAATAAAGTTTTATATCTAATATCAGTTGTGGTTTAACACTTAAAAATAATCTGTAAACAATTATTTTATTGATTTGAGATTAATCCAAATTAGTAAAAAAGTGAAATATTATTTCTTAAATTATATATATCTAAAGAATTGATTTTTTAATAATAGGTAAGTTAATATATAAAGATTATCAATTTTAGAAATATCTAATATATAGATATAAATATATTATATTGATCCAATTACAAATTTTAAAAAAAAAATTAATAAATTTATACAATATAATTGATATAATAAAATAAATATATTGATTTAGAATTAAAAATTTTTTTTAAAAAAAAACTCTTTCTTACTTCCCCCTACTTCGTGAAAATTTTCTTTTTAGAAGATTTTCTTTTTCCCTTCCCCCTTTTTTACTTCATGCGCGCAAATAACAACCATGCAGCAGACAAAGTCTGAAATGTGCTAGTACCACACGAGGCTCTGTTATCTGACTTGTTGATATATGGAAGGTATTATGTCTAGGAAAGCATGAGCAGACCAGCATTCTGTACATGGCAAATGTCTGAGACAAAGGAAAATGTCCTTAGGGGTGGAGACACTCCCGGAACAAGGCTTTGCATTTGACTGAGTCATTATAAACAAAAATACCTTTACTTTCCTTAATTTTTTCCAACTCTTTAAACTTCCCCTATCCCTTTTTTTTTTCCCGTTTATTCTTACCTCCTCGTTTTATACCCTTTCTGCCAACAGACAGCTTTCCCCTTTTCCAAGGTTTTCTTCCTAGGCCCACCACTCCTTTCTCTACCGAACCATCTCATCAACCCCATAGTATATCAAACCTTCTCTCTGGATAAGTTAATGGGCTTAACTTAGGAAAAAGGATACCTGATAACACCACTACTACCCAAACTCAAGAGAAACAACTATAGGACTTTCTCTTGTTTCAATCGTCTCCCAAACTCCACCAAAAACCGTGGTCAGCTTACCCCCTCTAAAAGATCGGTACAGACTGATCATGCCTTATTAGAACCAAGGCCTCTAGTAAGGAAAGACCCATGGCCTATACCTCAATCTATCTGTCCTCCTAGCTCAGGATATTCCAATTTGGTACTCCGCTTAAATGAAAATCAGCCAAATAGGACTGATCTGATGCCACAGGTAGTGACAAAGAAGGCAAAGTGCCTTCTTTCGAGGTCTGAGCGAAAAATATCTCTGGGAGTATCGAAGGGTAAAACTAAATCTCACCAGGTACATACTGTACAGCCTAGTCTAGCAAATATAACACAAAAATTTATAAAGCTTATTGCTAGAGTAGCCTGCTTCGCCATTTATGACTGTGTATTTGACCATTCAGCTCCTATATGGGTCTGCCCACTCACAGAGTAGTAGCAGGTTTACCTAGAGAAAACTGCGATAGGTTATCATTAATCTACATGTATATAGAAATATATAGTTTGTATAAGATGATTGATGTTTTAGTCCTAAAGAATTTCAATATTCAAGATGTTAAGTTAAAGCTTAATAAAAGGCACTTGCATCTAATACCAGTTGCGGTTTTAATAAAAAAAATATATATATATATATTGATTTAGAATTAATATTAAAAAATAAATAAAATTCTATATAAGTTATTTTGGTTTTTTTTTTTTTTTTTATAACCTACAATTATATTATAATAACATGTCTTTATTGAGATATTGAAAGATATCACAATGTTTGCAGACTTCATAAAGCAACTAACTCGTCATTGTATATTATTAGTTAAAGGACTACACTACTTAAAAAATATGAAGAGTTCACTAAGCTAGTTTGGACTAAACAAAATTAAGTCCAAACTAGGTACTTTAAGTCAGATTTTGATAAGAATATTATACTCTTCTAGTAGCTTGGTATTAGCCTCTAAGTTAACCAAGATCATTACCAATAGTTTATTACTATTGATTATCCCAAAAAATGATGAATTGCTAAAGTTGGTAGTGGGGAAAAAAGAAAAAAAGAAATACAATTCAAAGCTCTCTAAAAGGTTCTTGTTCTATTTCACAGTTTCTTTTCGAAGGGGATTTGCCTGATTAGGATATTCTCTAAGCTTCATGACATTTGAGAAACTTAATCATTCCTAAAAGTGACTTCAAAAAAAATGTTTGAAAAACTTTTCCTTCTGTCAATATATGGATTTGTTTAATATTATTGGAGCCAATATCATATTATAGAAGAGTTTACGCAATTGGGATAAAAAAAATTTTTTAAGAACTTTGCCTGACTGGGATAGAAGCTTGGAGATCTTAGCTTTTATTCAAAAAAGTCTTTTCATCACCTGAGAAACTTAATGAGAGATGGAAGTTGGATTTTCTTTTCCTACCTATTATCACCTTTCGGTATCATAATTGTTTTCTGGAAATTGAATATACATGATTAAAGAAGACACTTTTTCTAGAACTTTCTTTTCTATATTATTAATAATGTATCGAGATATGTAAATATAATCAATAGGAGCTTGTTTATATTCCAAAAATTGATGTGTTTTATGTTAGCCAATCACCTTTGGTGAGGATTTGTGCTATCCAAAATTTAGGATCAAACTGAGATAGGCAAAATTCCTCAGAAAATCATGAAAATGAAAGTTCTAAGAGAATCAAAATAGTCAAAAAGAAAGAAAATAAGCTTTTTTATTGCAGAAAATCTCTATAAGCCTCTCACTTCAAAGATTAAAAAGACTTTCAGGTACTTTACAATTAATTTTTCTTCCTTTGGAAACTTTCTTACCATTGATATCAAAAATATTACTTGATTTTTCTTGATTACTAGAAGTTAAGTTTTTGAGTGAAGAGATTTGTAAATAATAGGGGAAGGGTAGAAACAACTCTTGAAATTATACTTCAAGTTGTTTTAAAGAAAGTGTTAAGACTTTATTAGTAAGAAAATGTAAAAACTTTTTTTGAACATCTTTTTTATGTGTGGTCTGAGAATCAGCAGAAAAAAAAATATAAGTTATTTTAGTATATCTAGAAAGATTAAATAGTAGAATAATTAAAATAAATAAAAAAAATATTAATTATTTCTCAAAGTGTATTAATTTTTTTAAATATTTAAAAAGATAAATAATTATGTATAAAAGAAAGAAACAAAAATCAAAATAAAATAATATTTTTATAAAAGAAAAAAAAATCTTTTTAAATAAGAAGAAAAAAAAAGTCAAATAAAAAGATATAGAAAAAAGTAATTAAAATTGATGTACAGTATATATAATATTATATAATATTAAAGATATTATAAATAAAATAAATTATCAAAAACTTATTTTATTTATGTAAGATTAACTAATACTAAATAGGTCTTTAAAAATTAAACAATGTATAAATATTTTTAATTGTTCTATTTCTTAACATTGCAATAGTGCAACGAAAAAAATAAATATCCGAACCACTTGACCAATCATTAAATCAAGCCTAACGTTAACTTCAAATCATATTATGTTCTTCACTAGCTATACGCGTAAATTTAATAAAATCATAATTTGTACGTGATATGCAAATTTTTACATCAACCAACCCAAATCAGCACTACCTCTCATGTTTTCATCGCCATCATTATAAATGCTTGCGTAAAGTATCGTTTCACGCAAGACCAATTCAAGCAAACTTTAATAGCCGACGATTTTTTTTAGTCACGAGCCATGCGAGACAAAAAAATCTTTACAAAACTATATCCAATTTTATAAATTCGTAGTACATACGTACATTGATTATTACTAACATTTTTCTATCAGATTATTAAGATTATTAAAATGGTTTACAATATTCGTGACTCTTATATTTAAAATGAAATTATGATAATTCATCCGTAAATGTTTTTCTAATCGACTTCATAATTTATTGATGGGCATTTTTTTTGCATTTTTCTAGTCAGTGGCGTATAGTTAAAATGTAAAAATGATGTTATGGTGAAAAAACCACTCGCGTATTAAGAATATAGATCATCATCGCCTGTATCCCGACCAAATCCAGAATTAGAAACTTCCATGGCGCTCCCACTTTGTCCATCTGCAGATGAACCTCCAATACCGCCTTCGGGAAATTTGAAATTTGGCCCAAATCCACGAGACTGCTGTAGATTTTGAGCAAACATTTCATATTTACGAATATCATTGTCTGATACAGAACGACGAGCAAACTTCATGGCTTCCTCAAAATGAGCCCTATTATTTTATTAATTGAAATGAAATGTTATGACAATGTACAAAGACTACATTAAAATCATTACAATCGCAAACTATACCTCGTAATTTTTGGGACCGGATCATACTCTACTTCATCTTCGTCCATAGGAACTTCTTCCCCAGCTTCTTGCTTTTCCTTACGCTCCCGCTCTCGTTGCACATCCTTTTCAATACTCTCCCTGATGGCTAGTTTACAAGCACGCTGACAAATTTCTGTCAAATCGGCACCAGAGAAACCGTGTGTTGACTTTGCCAAGTATGGTAAGTCAACATCATCCGCGACGGGCGATTTTCGTAAGGTAGCCTTTAAGATCGAGAATCTCGAAGGCTCATCAGGAAGGGGAATGTAGATTAACTGATCAAGACGGCCAGGACGAAGTAAAGCAGGATCAATTTGATCGGGACGATTCGTAGCACCAATGACAAAGACATTCTTTTTTGCATTCATACCATCCATTTCAGTGAGAATTTGATTAAGCACACGGTCTCCAGCACCACCACCGTCACCGAGTGATGCACCTCGTGCTTTTGCAATTGAATCTAACTCATCAAAAAACATCACACATGGGGCAGCAGCGCGTGCTTTGTCAAAAACATCACGTACATTTGCCTCTGACTCTCCGAACCACATCGTCAATAGTTCAGGACCCTGAAAACATAATATTTCGCATATTGTTGGTGACAAAATAAAAATAAAACATCGAATTAAAATGAAATTTACCTTGATACTTATGAAATTTGCCTGACATTCGTTTGCAATGGCCTTAGCCAATAAGGTTTTTCCACACCCTGGGGGTCCGTAGAATAATACACCTTTTGAGGGAGACATGCCAAATTTCAAGAATTTATCTGGGTGTTCCACCGGATATTGTACAGTTTCTTGAAGTTCTTGTTTAACTTTTTCAAGCCCGCCAATATCATTCCATGAGACTGTCGGAACTTCAACAACGGTTTCTCTTAGGGCTGATGGGTTGGATGCGCCCAAAGCGTACTATAATTTAACAGAAATATAAGCGAGCTGCTAAAGAAATTAAATTTTTTAGCTAGGGCGGTACGTACTCTGAAATTATCCATGCTGACGGCCAGAGAATCCAGGACCTCTGCATCAATCGTTTCATCCTCCAGATCAATCAAGTCCATTTTCTCACGAATTTGTTGCATAGCAGCCTCGGAACAAAGTGACGCTATGTCTGAACCGACATAGCCATGAGTCTCAGAGGCAATCTGTTTCCAAGAAGGATAATCTGATTAATTTCGGAAGAGTATATAGAATATTATAATTATATAAAATTCCAATAATTCACATACTTGTTCTAAGTCGACGTCTTCATCTAATTTCATATTTTTAGTGTGAATACGAAGAATTTCTAACCGTCCAGTTGGATCGGGAATACCGATATCAATTTCACGGTCAAATCGACCAAAACGTCTTAAAGCGGGATCAATACTGTTTGGGCGATTAGTCGCAGCCATCACTACGACATTTGATCGTGCTTTCATACCATCCATTAAGGTAAGAAGTTGTGATACAACACGACGTTCAACCTCGCCATTAGTCTACATGATCAATGAGTCAATAATTTGCAAAACAGAAAGAAGATTAGATAAAATATTGGTTTTATTATAACTTGCCTTTTCCCTCTTTGGCGCAATAGCATCAATTTCATCAATAAAAATAATAGCAGGACTATTTTTTTCTGCTTCCTCAAATGCCTTTCTTAAATTACTTTCCGATTCGCCGGCCATTTTAGACATGATTTCAGGACCATTGATTAAAAAAAAGAATGCACCAGTTTCATTGGCCACAGCGCGAGCAATCAAAGTTTTACCGGTACCCGGTGGCCCATACATGAGAATACCACGCGGAGGTTTAATACCGATAGATTTAAAGAGTTGTGGATGTCGAAGAGGAAGCTCGACAAGTTCGCGAATTTGTGCCATTTGCTTGCGACATCCACCAATATCATCGTATCCGACATCATTTAAGTTTGCTTCTTCATCTTCTCGTTTGATAGGATCACCTTCACAATGTATGACGGTATCTTGTGCAACCTAAAGTTAATCGAAATGAGTAATGTTGAAATATTCATAAAATTTAAATAGTTGATTGTACTTGCAATGCAAAATTCCGGTGGATCCGTCTCTACGACTTTAAATTCAACTGCTCTCATACCACCTCTGACCAAGAACAGATCTCCTTTTCGAACTGGTCGATAGGCTTCCAAGAAATATGGTTTTAGATAAACTTCAAATAGACTACCCGTTACACCTTCAATTGTATCATCGATTGGCAACACGTGAATCCGTTTTCCGTATTTAATGTCGGCACATGGATGAATTGATACTACATCACCAAGGCGCACGCGAAGGTTATTTCGCACAACTATAAAAAAGTCAACCGAGTATTTAAACATTTATAAATAGTTCGTCTCTTGATATAAATCTTTCGATCTAACTATAACCCGTACCTTTATTGATTCTTACTTTCGTGTCTTCACACGTATCGTCGGCCAAAACAATCAGTACAGTATCGCGCCTCTTCTTCCCTTTTATCATCACAGTATCTCCACGAAAGAGCTGTAACTTTTCCATGGTAGCTGTGGAAAGCGACATCACGGAGTTGTCATCGTTCGTTGCATCGTCGACAATTAGTTTATTGGGTGCAGGTTTCTTACGAAGTATTGCTGTGGAAGGATCGTGGTCTGGGTCTTGATTTGATGAAGTGTCACTAAAAGAAAAAAATGTGGTTTTAGCATTTTTTTCTTTTCTTAAAAAAAAAAAAAAATCTCGAACGTAAAGTAATAAGAAGGTCCATAGTAATAATACAAGTTGAACTTTTAATTCAACAAAAATAAACCTGATACGTACATTGATTTTCCTTTTCCTTCAGCCATTTTTTAAAGAAGTCAATTTATCAAATGCTCTAACAAAAAAAAAACACGATAGAAATGTTTGAATTTAACATATATTTGTGAACAAGATGTGAGTTTTTATACACAAGGAAACTTACAAAGGCGTAGTACCGGTTAGCACCGTAATGAAATGAAGAACATCAAAGAAGTAATATATCAATAATCAAGGCGCTTACGCAACCGCTGATGACGTTTACCTTTTGTTGCATAGTAATATGCTCAATACGTACGCAACAATGCGTACGTAATGTAAAAAAAAAATCGTTGGATGTCATTAATTGGTTGTCGTGATTATATAATATCAAAAAGTTTTTAAATCCCTTTTTTATATTATTACCATAATTATAATTATGTTTAAGGGTTTATAAATATTAATATTTTGAAAATTAATTTAATTTTAATCCATATAAAATAAGAAAATATAATATTTAATATTATTATTTTATTTTTTATATTATCTATAGTTAGGTTAAATTGTTTTTTTTTTTTTGAGTACCCATAGCCAGGCTAGATCGTCAGTTTATTAATCAAATAAAGACAAAAGTACATTTTCATTCGAGCAGCATGATACATACT